GCAAACAATCCCCCAAACCTATAGCTTAAATGCTGAGATAGGCAAAGTTTTTTTATATTTTGGAGGTTAGAAGATACGACTAATGAATGAGAAATATTTATAAGCCAGGGTGTCATTAACTTTTAAAATATTTGCTTACAGCATAAAGAATCTCTGTTCTTGCATTTAGGCTGAGATCTTTGAATATGAGATTTGTTTTTTTTTAAAAGTATAGAAGCATCCTCTGTGCTTTGGAAATTTAACTGATGTGTTGCTTTCAACTTGAGATCTCCCTATCATACTGATCATCTCACCTCAAGCGAACAGGTGAGTCCTTGAGCTTCCTTTTATCCATTACTCATTTCCTATCTCTAGCATAAACAACGCAGTACCTTTGGATAGGAATTGAGCAGGGTGAATCCACAGAATCACAGAAATGTTTGTCTGAATGGACTTCTGGAGGGCAACTAGTCCAAGCTCCTGCTCTGAGTGGGACTAGCGCCAACACCAGTTGAGGTTGGCCATGGCTTTGCCTGCCTGAGCCCTGAAAACTCCAGAGATGGAGAGTACACAGCCCTACCAGACAACATGTTCCTGTACTGCATCACCTTCTTGGTGATTTTTTTTCCTGATGCCCAACCTGAAACCTTCAGCCCAGGTTGCTCCTTGCTGTATCATCTGACACTACAGAGACTCATCCTTCCCTCTTTGTAGCTGCTCTTCCAGCATCTTTGTTACCACCTTTCAGGCAGCTGTAGGCTGGTCTTTTCTTCCCCCCATTGTTTTTCACTCCCCATTAGGCCAAGGAGACTCACTTATATTTTTGAAGACTTCTGATATCACTCGTCCTAACCGGTCTTATTCTAATGATTCTAGGTATATGCACATTACACTTGCTAGACCTGGGGTTTCATCTGAACAACAAAGAATGACAAAAAACTTATCAGGAATGCAAAATAAAACCCAGATTATTGACTCAATTCAACTATTTATTCATTCTTACCAGAGCAGCTGGAGAGACTTTTTGACTTTTGGACCAAAAACAAAAAGCCAAACACTTAAATTTGTTGATTTCACATCACAGTAATGGTTCTGAATATTTAATGCCACTTTTTAGAAGGATAAGTAAAAAAAAATTAAAAACATCTTTGCGTGGTTTCCAGTGAAGAGACAAAAAGTGCATCACAAATACAACACCACAAGTTAAGACATTGAAATGTGAGTGCCACCATCTCAGATGTTTAATTTATTATTTTCATAATTTTATGCTAAAATTACTACAGTAATGAACTATAGTGGGAAAGTGATACTGTCATTTTTTAATAATCTGCTGTTCACCATGTTGTCTTTATGTTTATTATTAAATGTTTTGTACACTTATGTTATCTGATTCAAAGAAAATCTATGCATTAGTGCTGTTAAACCTAATGATGGAAATTCTATTATGATTTTTAATGATATCCAACTTTTATACAGTTGCAGACTGTTACGAAGGAATACAAACCTTAAATTTATTATCATTAATCAGCATTAGTAAATATAATTGACATTTTATAGAGAACCAGCTTTAAGTAACTTATTGGCAGCAATACAGATGCTTCTTAATATTACCCTCTGGCTAGCTATGCTGTTTGGGCGCCAGAGTGTCTGCACTAATGACTTAGAATTAAAATCAAATAAAAGCTAAGAACGGTAATTCAGTATAAAACAAACAGTCATTCTTAGTACCAATTCTTTATATATATAATTTGGATATATCTGGAATTTTTAAAATTTACAGTGTGTATAAAACAGTGGAAGTGTTTGAGAGTAGATAACAAAATAGGACAGAGAAAAAACAAATCTGATGTTCCTAGATTTCTACACTTACCCTTAGGCACACCATAGGAATTGAAATGAGGAGAAAAAGTAGACAGTGTAATTAACCTTTCCTTTCCCTTTTTTTTTAAACAACAGCAACAAAAAAGGCAGAACATTTCAGACATTATAAACAGTAAAAATACACATACATGTTTTTCTGTCAGTATTTTTCATCTCAGGAATTGCTGTAGTTTCCTGAGGATTTAATATGCTTAGGCATGAAAAGGGACCTAGTCCCTAAAAAATTTTCCTATGAAGACGTGGATTATGTTATTGAAAAGATTTAAGAAACCAGGTAAGCTGCTCTATCTCTCAAAGCCTCATGCCCTGACTTCTAGATATCGAGTGGTGGTTTTTTTGCAGAGCGTATCTGAGCCCTCTCTTCCCCACACCACCTATGTAGGACCTATTTCCTATTTGACTTCAGCTTTGGGCAGAAAAAAGAGTAGAGCCAAAATACGTCCTAGCACTTTCCTGTCTTATGATGGGGCCTCCAGGGGCCATCACACGTGGAAGCCCCTTGAAGGGCTATTGATAAATCTCCTTGCACATATCGTTATTTTACCCAGTTCATCCTCACCCTTTGCTTCAATAAGCTTCATTTAAAGCCACTATAATTTAATTTCAGCAACTCTGAGGAAGAACCTTAAGATCTGGCCCTCTAAAGATGGCTTGGTTTATTCATTTATTTGTCTAAAGAAGTAGATTCTTTTCTGAGCTCTCATTTTGGTGAGACAGTTAAAAAACCACAAGAATATATTTAAATGAGGGTAATATATATTAAACATTCAAAAGAATATCCATATTGTACGGGGAGGAGAGAAATTTTATTATTATACAAACATATATGTATATATAATGTAATCTTCTTCTTGCTTTATGGATCTGATCTCCTCCAAGGAGAGTCACAAATCCACATGATAGCCCTGAGTGCTCAGATTTTGCATTTGGTTCTCTGATTTTACAATAGCTGAAAGATATGTAAAAACTCATGTAGCCAGACAGCTCCCTACTGACTACACATCTAAGCAACTTCACACGCATATATTATTCCAACCAGTGAAAGCTGGAAATAACATATGCCTAAAGAAAAAAAAAGCATGCTTGAAAGGAGCCTGTTTCAGCTTCCGTGTGAAACCTTCAGGGCTCTCCCTGACCAAACCGCACCCTTCTACAGCGTGCTGCCATCTCAGGTGGGGACAACCCAAACTACTGAGTTACACTGTGCAGAGTGAAGGGTGGGAATTGCTTCATAAACTTTTAAAAACGGCTACTCTAGCTTTTTGCTGTTGAATGCAATTCGGGGAAAAAAATTACCAATAACTATTACCATTTTGCTAATGTGGTCCTGGAGGGTTTTTATAATTTTCTCCTCTCCCATTTTTAATCATAACTTCGGTAAATGACCACTGGCCATGAAAAGCACCCAGATTACTTTCATTAAAAATAATAATCTATAGCATAGAACAGGTCGACATCATTTTGTTCACAGAAAATAATGAAACGTCCCATGCACCGTGCCTGACAGTATTGCTGTGATAAAGCTTCACCTGCATTGAAACCATTACAGCTCCTATTGCCTCCCTACTAAAAGTTTTAGAAAGTTAATGGTTTAGTTATCCAACCACACCTCAGTTCTTAAAAGTTTTGTGTTTAACTGAGGAAGTGAGGATGAATTAAGATGTCTACTAGCCCTCTCCAAGGGGATCAACTGAATAGTATGTGTTGATTTTAGGGCATGTAATCATGATTCCCACTCTGCATCTCCCTCCTCTTCTTTCTCCCCTTTCCTGAAAATGTAGTAAGATGGGTGAAGCCCGTGGAAAGGACTCACATTGGAGAAATCCGTGGAGGACTGTCTCCTGTGGGAAGGACCCCATGCTGCAGCAGGGGAAGAGTATGAGGAGTCCTGCCATTGAGGAGGAAGGAACGGCAGAGACAACGTGTGATGAGCTGACCGCAACCCCCATTCCCCGTCCCTCTGCGCTGCTGGGAGGGAGGAGGTGAAGAAAATCGGGAGTAAAATTAAGCCTGGGAAGAAGGGAGGGGGAAAGTGTTTTAAGATTTGGTTTTATTTCTCACTACCCTTCTCTGATTTGATTGGTAATAAACTAAACTAGTTCCCCCAAGCTGTTTTGCCTGTGATGGTAATCGGTGAGTGATCTCTCCCTGTCCTTATCTTGACCCACGAGCCTTTCGTTATATTTTCTCTCCCGTGTCCACTTGAGGAGGGGGAGTGATAGAGTGGCTTTGGTGGGCACCTGGCGTCCAGCCAGGGTCAGCCCACCACAATGGGAAATCAAGGAGGCTTCAGACTTCTGAAACTTTGATGGTCAAACTCTAGGAAATCTCTCCCATTAGACTGCGAACTAAGATTTTTCAGAGACTTCCAATTTCACCACATTCGGCCATGTTTCAGAGCCAAAACAAATTTCAAACCATAACTAAAACATGCAAAAATCTGAAAACTTCAAAAGGATACTAGCATGAGAATTGGCTTTTGTGCATGTTTATTTTCTTTTCATGGGCAAACCAACACACGTTCTCCTGACTGGAGTCCCAGGATGTATTGATAAACTCTGCATCAGATTTCTACACGGCAGAGACATCAGGCATGAATAATTCCAACCTAAACTGTATAAACCATCAAATCTATAGGTTACAGAACACAGGCTCCTATAAGAGAAGACGTTAACTGTAGGTGGCACTACCAGAATGTATGCCCTATTCCATTATTCTAAAATACAGTTAGGTTCATATGCTAAAAATTGTGAAATGAAATGTGTCTATATCTCATGTCCTTCAAAATCATTATTGATACATGCAGTAGTTACCAGGTTGCGATCTAAAAGATATCTACAGGGCACTGAAATGGAAACCACCAAATTCTGTCCAAGCGCTTCTTGGAAATTATTTGTTTTCATCTTGTTCCTTGTCAAATACATAATGCGTTTTTGTTCTCAGCAAAACTAAGCATTTTGTATATTCTCAGCTTCTGTCTTCTTTTTTTTTGCTTTCAGCACTAAATATTTAAACACATTCAACCTAAAAATCTCAAGCTAGTAATCTGCTGCTTACATCTTCCCCCTGAGGTGTAACTATCAATGTGGTAGTGCAGGATTGCTGAAGAGACATGAAAGAGATTGTGGTTACAGTCCTACCTGCCCACAGGCCAGGCCCATGCCCCTCTCCCCCATACCATGAGGACATGATAAATTTAACTCCAGCGCATCTGCACCAGCAACCTATGAAATATGCAAAAGGCAAAAAAAATGCAAAATTAACTTCAAGTAATGTACTCTTTCCTGTGGCATTTACTGTTCATGTTAAATAGATTTCTTTAGACATTTGATTTTTTTTTTTTTTTAAAAGAGAGAAAGCTATGGTTATGATAGCCTGAAAAAGAAATATGGTGATCATTATAGAGAAAAATTTCAAAAATTGATGTGGCTTCCCAAAATTACAAAGGAAATTGAAGTAAAAAATAAATTAAAAAGAGACAAGCACAATAAGGAGTTGGTTCTGGAAAACGTTAAAAAATGAAATGCAATTGGAGGGCCTTAGGGCAGCACCAAGAGCAAGGTTCGGTAGGCAGTGTTACCCAGGTGCTTCTGTGCTCTAAAGAACTGTGACTCAGTAGTAAATTTCTTCTTTCTGCTTTAATGAATTCAGTCTCTAATTTTCTGCAGGTGCCTATACTGTGCCATAGCTTTTGTCATTAAATATTTTTGTTTCTGAAGTTAAACAAGAAAGTATTAAAACCAGTCTATACAAACATATTATTCATGCTAATTTCTCTTCAGCACCCTCTATTAGCTACAATTAAAAAGGCAAAGGAGCCGAGGTGTACGAGGGCAGCACGTAAACACGCTCCTCTTCCTCCCTGCAAAAAGCTGAACTGCTCCAGCCTGAGATGAGGATCTCACCTGTCGCCTTCCATGTGGCTGTAACTAGTATTTTGTTTTGCATTTGCATTTTGTTTTTGCTTATTGAACTGGAGTAACTTTGCCTGCTGTGTGGCCATGGTTC